GGGTTCAGAGATGGAGGGCAGGGAACGTCGAGACAGAAAGCAGCGTGAACACAGTGTGCAACTGGAGTGAAGCCTTGCTGCTGTGCAGCACATAGTTGCATCAGGACTGGAGGCCTTGCAGAGACACAGAGCAGCTGAGGAAGGGTTCAGCCTGGGAGAAGGGCTTTTGTGCGGAAGAGCAGATGGTATTTTCCCCATGTCTGGGATTGTGCTCCTGCCTTCTGGTGAGAGGGCTGGGGGGAGGTAGAAATCACGGAGTGAAGAGAATTTGAATTAATTGAAGTGATGCTTATCTGAGCATAGGTATTTATTCAAAACCGGCCATCAGAGATGTTTGTCTCCCCTTTCACACAGACGTTCCTGTGACTTCCACTCCAGTCACTGCATCCTACCATGGCTGCATGACCATCAAGCTGAGCAACAAGGCACTGGACTTGGACGAGGCTCTCTACAAGCACAGTGACATCACCTCACATTCCTGTCCTCCAGTTGAGGCGGGTCAGTAGGTACCACTGCAATGCGAAAGTTTTATATTCAGAAACTTTCAATGCTTTTCTTTTTTTTTAAAGATATAAATTATTCAGATCTACCGCACTGCGTGTATAGTTTCTCTTAAACACTGAAGTTATGTAGGAGCTACTGATCCTTATGTCAGATTGATCATTGAAATACTCCCTTGCTTTGAGGATTAAAGGTTGTAATATATTTGTAAATAGTTCAGAAGACTAATATTAAATAAGCCAAAAGTACAGAATATACCTAAATTGAATGTTATCTTTAGACTGTAAGAGACAGTTTTATCTGTAATGTGGAAAACCTGGTAATATATGAGTGTGGACTGGAAGAAAAATAATAATTCTGTATTATTTTTTATTACCAAACACTGCTTTCTGATTTGCAAAATATGAGAGAATAAAATATTTACATACAAGTTTTTAATTTATCTGTACTGAGATTATTCTGTATTCTGTTGTTTGGAGATAATGACTCGGGCTATGCCTGATGTGGAGATTACACTATTGGGGCGGGTGTTTGGTTGGTTTGGGTTTTTGTTTGGAGGTGGGGGCTTTTAAGTGCTTATGTCAGTATTATGTGTCTTCTGGGCTGGAGAGCTGCTATTATTGCTAGAGTTTCTGGTACCACAGATAGAAGACTCAGTTGTGACCTTTAGAAACACTCTTGGTCAACAGAAAATGGAAAAGA